AGTGGGGAGACAGGAGAGTTCTGCTGTACCATGTGGGTCAACTCCCTGGCTGGGGATTGAACTTGTGCTGCAGTATCCGTGGATGGCTTCAGAGTGCTTACACTTAAGCCCTTGTGCCACCAGAGAGGGCCTGCATTCAGTTTTGTTGGTGTCTTTTCACATAAACACAATTAAAAAGCAAAATAAGAACTGCTTCTATCCCTAGGCATGAGGATTATTACTCTTCTTCCAGCTACACTCACTACAGTCTTCATGTGGTGCGTTATCTCCCTAACACTTATTTATGTTAAAGCTAAGTTTGTCATTTTAACTCCCTTTCTCACTTACCCGCCACCCCCAACTCCCAATACCTCCACTAACCTGATATTCCACACATAGGTGAGCTCGAATTCATTTGCCTTTCTTTGTCTGACTTGTTTCAGTTAGCATCATCAGGGCCCGCCCACACTGGAGTTTCTCCTCCTTCTGCTACTTCTTTATTCACACTCTGTTGATGGGAAGAGTTATTTCCACGTCGTGGAGTGGTGAATAGTGCTGCTGTGAACAAGGCACACATACTCATGGGCCCCCAATTAAATGATGAAAATGGACAGTTCGTGGAAGGATGGTAGACTAGCTGGGAATATGTTTTGTTTTCATTAGAGATGAAGCCTTTTTAGTGGCTTGTAGGAGTTGAGGTTAAGAAGGAGTTTGTAGGCAAAGCAGAGTCCTCAAGAAAACAAACAGTAACCCCATTTCCCACCAGTGACTGTTCTCGTTTTACTGGGAGAATGTCGCCCTAGATACCAGTCTGTCCAGAAGGAAAGAACATTCTATACAGAACCTGCATGCACTGTGAAGTTACAACACTATCATGATAATAAGGCCATCGATAGGTACAGTATGTGAAGAATTTTGCTTTTTGAACCCTGTGAAATAGAAATGTCACCCCCATTTTCCAAGAGGAGAAACTGAAGCCTAATGCTGAACTAATTTGTCTGGGGGGGGGCTCCCAGCTGCTCTTCGGTTCAGCCACCAAACCTTTAATAATCAGTACCACCTGCACCCCACCCTCATCCCATCCCCCTGGTCCATGTCCTGTCTTATGTCTGTGCAGAAGAGAATTACATAGTAGAAATGTTTATTAGGAGAGTTGCTTTTCCTCAGAGGATCTGTCTACATGCAGGCTCTGTCAGTGTTAGGGGGTCAGTTCTGATACTGTCTCCCCAGCTGCTGGGGCAAATAGTTTTTGGGTTTTAGTGACTTGATTTGACCAAATCTTAAGATCATATCTAAAAAACGTTTTACTGTAGGATTTTGTTGTGGTGACAACTTTTGTATCTGGTAGCAGGGTTACGTTTCCTCGCCCTGGAAACTGCAACAGTGCTGGGTCCTTCCTCCAATCCCACTAGGTTACATTGATTCGTGTTCTGAAACGCATCATCATGTATTTCAGAGAAGTCAAAACCTAGGCTTTAATCCCTTTATTCTAGACACCTTATTTTCCTCTCAACCTCAACAAAACTCATAACATTTGCTTGGTGAGAACAGTGAACTGGTAGCTTGAACTAGTCTAGAATAGGAAAAGCACGTCCTTAAACATCAGTTGCAGACCTCCCCTCTACCCTACTGAAATACCTGTGTTCTCCAGGTGTCACCTGCGAGGGGAATGTATAGGGTATAAAGGTGAGTCAGAGGCCAAATTAGAGGCAACTTGTGTTTTTTGCACATATAATTGAACCAAAAGAATGGATTTCTGCTGTTGGAAGATGTTGGTAAGGGGAATGAAGGATTTGGGGGGAACACAGAATACAGAGTCCTTTGTGTTAGTGGGTTTGATCTAGATAAAACCCCCAGCAGGGCCTGTAGCTTCCTTCTGGTTTGAGGAACCTGGTTCTTGGCCGGCACCAGCAGCAGAGGGAGAAAGTGCCAGAGCAGCCTGTGCCTTGGTCTGAGAGAGCGCTGCCCGTTACTTCTGTTCAGTCCTCAATTTCCTCTTGCAGCTCAAGGAATACGAGGCCCAGCACCGGCATTCTGCTGCCTTGGACCCTGCCGACTGGCCGGACGGCTGTGACCCAGCCTTTGATGCCTCCTCAAACTGCAATGTAAGTTCCTGTCTGCGCATTCGGCTACCTCCCCCAGAGGGCAGAACCTGCACAAGTCCAGCCTTGAGGTTCCATTTTGTACCTGCCAACTCTCATCTGGATGTGAAAACAGCCTCTTACATGTCACCCCGTTTCCTTTATCTGATGTACTCATCTGCAGTCCAAATAGTGCTGTTTGTGCTGGTAGAGCATACATAACTTAAAATTTACCCTTATAAACACTTTTTTATGTTCAATTCAGTGGCATTAAGTACGCGGCTGTGTAGAACATCACCACACTCCATTTCCAGAACTTTTGCATCATCCGTAACCTAAATCCCATAACCATTCAACAGTAACCACTGATTCTCTTTCTCCCCCAGCCCATGGCAACCCCCATTCCGCTTTCTTTCTCCAGAAGTTTGCCTAGTTGAAGTACCCGTCAGTTCATGCACTCCTGGTTTGTTTCACTAAGTACCGCATAGCACACACTGGTTCTGGTTCCTCTTCGCGGATGGGTAATAGTCCATCATCTGTACATATCACATTGTGTCTGTCCATGCATCTGTCCATAAAAACGTGGGTGTTTCCCCCTTTGAGCTGTGAGAACAAAGCAGCTGAGAACATTGGTGTACCGGTATCTCTCTGAGACCCTGCTGTCTCTTTGGGGTTCATATTGATGACTGGGATTTCTGGGTTACCTAGTAGTTCTGTTTCACATTTTGAGGAGTTGCCACACTGCTCTCCATGGTGGGTGGCTACACCACTTTTTTTTCCTGACTGCAGTGTCTGAAGGGTCAGTTGCTCTACAGCCAGAGCTCGTCATTTTGTTTCATTTTGATGAGAGCCATTTTGTAGGTGTGATGTGGCATCTCAGTGTGGTTTCCATTTTCATTTCTGTAGTTCTAATGATTGAGTATCTTATGTGTTTGGCCATTTGTACATCTTCTTTGGAGAAATGTCTATTCCAACTTTTGTCCACTCTTGAATTAGGCTGTTTTGTTGTTCATTGTTTAGTTGTGCGGGCTCTTTATGTATTCTGGATATTAATCCCTTATCAGATGTATTATTTGTATATATATATTTTTTTCCTGTTGTGGGTCCTTTTCACTCTTAATGAATGAAAGTTTTATATTTTGAAGTCCAATTTATATTTTCTTTTGTTGCCTGTGGCTTTCTTGTGTTTGGCTAAGAAATCATTGCCAAATCCACTGTTGTGAAGATTTTTTTCTATCATTTCTTTTATAAATTTTATAATCTTTGCTGTTAAGTTTATTATTATCATATATACTACACATATATTATTATTATTATTGTAAAGTTAAAATTAGCTTTTGTTTATGGTGTAACATTTTAGTTCAACTTCATTCTTTTGCAGGTAGATGCTAAGTTTTCTCAGAACCATTTGTTAAAAATACTGTCCTTTTCCCATTGAATGATCATAAAGTAATTGACCAGATATAAAGGGTTTATTTCTGGGTGGTCTATTTTATTCCATTGGTGTGTATGTCTCTCCTTTGTAGGAATTTTACTCTTTTGATGAATGTAGCCTATGATAAATTTTCAAAGCTGGCACTGTGAACCCTCCAATTTGGGGTTTTCAGATTGCTTAAGTCCATTAAGATTCCACATGCATTTTAGGACAGGTTTTACTGTTCCTGCAAAAGATGCAATGGGAATTGCATTGGGTCTACCATTGTCTTGAGGAGTAGTATTGTCATCTGACCAATATGAAGTCTTCTGATCCATGAACACAGGTGTCTTTACATGTATATCTTAATTTAATTTAATTTAATTTTTAAAGATTTATCTATTTATGCATACAGAACTGGGGTACAAGCCAGAGGTCTAGGAGCTATGAGAGGATTCACCAGAGACACAGTGGGGAGCAGAACAGGCAGATCGTTGAAGTACACTGTTGAGGGGAGCAGCTGGCGGGTCAGGGGAGGTCTGCTGTGCCATGTGGGTCACCTCCGGGGCAGGGATCGAACTCATGCTGAAGTGGCTTTAGATTCTTAGTGCTGTGCTTTAACCAGCTGCGCCACCAGGGAGGGCCTATATCTTAATTTTATAAAGCTACATCTTGTAGTTTTTAGTTTGCACATCTTGTCTTTGGTTAAGTTTATTCCTAAGTATTTCATTGCTTTTGATGGTATTATAAATACAATTGTTTTCTCAGTTTTTAAAAAAATGCTTATTAACATATACAAATGGAACTGTATTTATCTTACTGATTTTGTATCCTGCAACCTTGTTGAGTGTATTTATTATTTCTAACAGTTTGTGTGTATATACAGAGGAGGGACAGCTATATGTAAGATCACATCATCTGTGAACAAAGGCAATTTTACTCATTTTCCAGTTGGGTTTTCCAATATCAATGTTATGTATTGTGACCAAAACAGTGCTTCTTAAATGTGGAGTTCTACATCAGTTATAAGGAAGAGAAATCCAGAGTTTGAAATAGACTTTTCATGATACCCTCATTCACCTCTGTGGACTGAGAATTGGCAGAGTTATCCTGTTGACTCTAGGGTGCAGTTCTTTTGTTTGTTAGGTTTCTAATTCTACCTCCATGTCTTCAGTCTCTTGTTTCCTGTCCATGCAGTCATCTTTATAAAACATAGCTCTTTGCTTGGAATCATGTTTCCATAAAGTCAAGTGGTTTTCCAGTTCTTTAAGATAAATTCCAAGCTTTTTGGCATACTTGAGACCTTATGTGATCTGCCTTTCACCAATATCCCTAAGATCTTCTGCTAGACCATGCATCTGGTACTGAACACACCTTGTATTTTCACATGGTCTGCTTTAATTCGTGCCATTTCTTGTCCTTTTCCAAAAATGTCTTTCTCCAGATCATTCCAGGTAAAAAGCAATGCATCCTCCAAAATGAAACCCCACAGCTACCTCCTTTGTAAAAGTTACTTTAACCTCCTCAGTGAAAGTTTGCTGCTTCCTGCCCTCAGTTTTTGCTACTCCAGCTTAACCAGCCAACTCTAGCAGTTATCCTGGATTGTCAGAATTAATAGTAGGCATTGTCTATGCCGTCCTGGAAATCATGAGTTCTCTGGGCAAGAAAGGCTCGCCGTGTCATCTTTGTGTCTGTCGCAATGGCCTAAATCCATGTCTAGTTCACATGGAAATGTCCACCCAACAGAGCTGTATTTGAATGTCCAGCTTTCCTGGCTCCTTAGAGGGCATGTTTTATGTCTTCAGCTACAGCCTCAGTCTTTACCTTTCTTCGTTTCTAAGCACCAAGTGATGACTTCTCAGAAGTACTTGTAACCCTCCCACTACCTAGTGTTCTCCCTGCTTTCCTGAATCAAGCACCAGATTCCATTGCAGCTACGAAAAAACTCAAAGCATTATTAATTTGCAAGCCTTTGTGTGAAAGAAACTGAGACGTTACCATTTATAATAATAAATGTGTCATATGCCGGCCAAGCAGCGTGTCTGGGGACTATGAGGTAATCAAAAGAACCGTGTCCATGATTTTTTGGGTCTCTTATCCCCAAGCAGTAAAGACTAACAATATAAATGTAAATCATGAACCTAAAGAATCACGGACAATAAGTACAGTAACTCAGGACTGATGTGATTCAAACCCAGCCCGGGGACGACACAAAGACCTGATTCTCCGTAGCAGCTACTTTAGCTTGCAACTCACTGGACGCTGCCGTGATGAATAGGTTCTGAGTCAGAGCAGGAGCTATAGGACTTAGTCCATTGAGAAACAGGACTGCAGTGAAACCTCACATTTAGATGGCAATTTGAAGGGGCTTGTCTCATTTAGGGAAAAGTTAGCATAAATTGAGGACTGTAGGCATTTTGAATGAGCTGCTGAGAAAGTGTCGCTAAGATTTATTAAGATATGTTGGACTGCTTTCCAAGGGCCAATCAGCACCTTCAGCTTGATATAAATTGTCAGACTGAAGTGGGTGCTTCTTGAAGGATCCATATTTGTGCTCTTGAGCATTTCTCTCCATTGAGGAAGCACTTGCTGTCTAGCCAGCACAGAACTAGAGACTAGGGTTACCAAGGTGACCCTCTACTTCCTGCACCATCTTCCAGAAGCTTCAAGTGACTTCTCTTTTTGGCTAGGAGATGTAGGTGTGGACAGGCACTAGAGAGCATTGCCTAAAGCAGCATTGCGAATCCCACATGTAATTTGCTAGGTGATTTTCTGCAACCACCCTCAGCCACTCCCTTAATGCTATATACTCCTGATTACCATGACCAACCTTCCGAGCCCTTCCTAAGCACTGCCTGCCTCTGTCAGCCCAACTTCAGTCCAGCACAGGCAGCGAGAAACCCTGTCCAAAATAGCCTTTCTCAGTGGTGCTGGATTTGTATGTTAGCAGAGTAATTAATTTCATAATTCCCCCTATATCCTGCTTCAGCTGCTGTGGGTGAGTTGTTTTGATTATCTTTTGTGCAAGGGCTGGCCTTTTCAGTCTTCTGTCGATTCTTTTCTATACTGAGATGTAAATAGCCCACTGGCCATGGTCAGGAATGTCCAGGCCACGAAAGTTTCAGGGACCATAAGGCCTTTGTCCCCTGGCCTCAATGCCTATATTGATGCCTGTCATGCTGTAGGATTTTGTTTGCATTGATTTCATAGACTTCCCCACCCCCACAACTGACATTAGATAATTGCATGTTGCTGCACAATAAATCCATGTTCACATATGGATTCCAAGAGTGTAAAGTGCTAAAAATAGTGACCAGGGGAAGTGAAAAATAGCTTTCTCATTGCCAGAGGGGAATCTTTGCTTTGCTCTTCTTCATTAACAAACTTCTCTTATGACTGTTTTTAAAAAGTTTCTGGTTCAGTATTTAACTTGATTCCTTATTAAATAGCTTGATATTTGTTTACACATTTTTCATTTTATTTTGATCAACTTTGTTTTCATGTTGCCTCCTGCCTGGGGAAGTTGTAAAAGATCTCGTTTTAGGCTCTCAACTTTATGCCTGGCGTTTCAATTCAGCTTATCTCCCATTAGACAATGCCTTAGCAATTA